TTTTCTGATAAAAATTATGCTTTTTTAATAATTTTTAATAAAATCTTATAAGGTTTTTTAATTGTTTTTATTTTTTTTTTATGTTTTTGGTGCACATATATATTATCTACGTATATATCGAATTTTTATACGTATGTCGGTTTTATGTACATATGTATGTATGATATATATATGTATATGTATATATATATATATATATATATATATACATAATATATGCACCAATTTTTTATTCCACCGTTGTCACCGGTGTTACGGTATTAGTTGATAATTTTATTTTTCTCAAAAATCGCTTGATGATTTTATAATTTTCTGGCATACCAACTTAATAATACCAGACTTTCTGGGAGAAGGGAAGTGGGGAGAGGGGATGGAGACGTGGAGACGGGGAAAAAGAAATCGGTTACCATTAGCTGCCCGAATTTGGGTGGTGAGACTCGTATCATTACTTCACGCTTGCCAGCACAAATTATTTGAGATAAGAACTTTCTTTGAGTCAAAACCCTCATTTTTTGATTCAAAATCCCCTCCCTATTCACTCTCACTGTAGGGCGAAAGCACTTGGAAGTATTTCGAAGAGGCAAGTATCTGTAGTCTTATGTCGCAAAGCTACTGATGATTCCCTCATTCGGGGTTGCTTACCAGCAAACTGATATCGATTTTTGCCTTAAAATCTTTGTGAAACTTTGAAGGAAAAGCGAATACAGAGCATTTTTAAAGTAAGGGAGGGTATGAGAGTTCCTTTGATGTCGCAACCCTAACAGTTAATATTTTAGACTAGTCTTATGCCCTGTGTATGCGTGTGTGTGTGTGTGTGTAACACGTCTAGTCATGTATGCGCATTTATAACTACATCGAATACTAAAAGATAACACAGAAAAAGGTGGTGAGGTTCTGGGGAGCCGATGCTCCTCAGAGCAGGAGTAAAAGCTAATAAATAGGTCGAGAGTGGTTGGTGGGTAGTGGCCATCCAGGCGATGGGGAGGGGTGCTTTTATACCCCAGGGGTCAGAGATTACTAAAATAGAAAAAGTTTAACGAGGGTAGGGTGTCCAAAGTTTTAACCAGGGACAGGGGTATTGCGTCACAGTAACGCATTTGTTCTTTAACCTACTTTTAACAAAAACCGTTGATCATTTGGTCTATTATATGACAAGCGGGCGAAAAAAAACAATTGAAAAAAAAGGCAAAAAAACTTAACGTCGCCTTTTTTTGAATTCAAAACAACTGTTGTTGGCAATGTTTTTTATTTCAGTATGACAATTCTGAAGTTGCCAGGTGAAAGTTTGGTAGCGAATTGTGGTGAAGGTGGTTTTATTGAAATATGGACATCGAGCATAGACGGTCCACTAAAACACAAGCAGTTGATCGGAACACCGGCGCAAAGTCTCTGGTCCATCACGTTTTTGGAAAATGGCGATTTAGCAGTTGGAGCAAAGTAAGTCCTTGATCTTTTTTCGCGGAGGCTTACTATCAGTTACAGTTATCTATCGGATATTGGATCAGGGGACCTTTTTTAATAAAATAATTCAATGTGGAAAAGGAGAAATTAAAAGATTTTAAATGTATTGAAAATCATTTTTAATGGTAAGAAATGTCTCACACCACTAAGTCGTATACATTTCTTACCAATACCACACTTGGACCTCGTCAGTATGGCGATTGTGGCAATTGGGGGGGGGGG